CAATGATAAGTCAATTGTTTTCTGCCAACAGATTGAAAACAGTTCAACTTTGAATAGTGTTTAGCAGCGACACACAAATTGTGTTTGGTGCCATTTTGAATTCCGTCCAACTCACACACGAACTAATATGGATACATTAGTTCTAATTTTAGTAAATTAATAAACTCACAGGTGCCTTAATTCACCAGGCATTGCCTGCTACAAAATATTTCAGTATACAAATGCAGTTTTCAGTTTATATAAACTTCCATTAGAGATGTACTTCCTTTGATCCATGAATGAGCTGAGCATGCACTGAGCATGCATTTGACATATACTCAGCATGTACTTGGCATGTACTGAGCATGCACTGAGCATGTACTGAGCATGCACTGAGCATGCATTTGACACATACTCAGCATGTACTTGGCATGTACTGAGAACGCACTCAAGCATGTAATAAGCATGCATGTACAACATGTATAATTTTCAGCAAACAATTAGTGATGCAAAAGTTATACAGAATTCTGATTGTTTGATTGTTACCTTTCTATGACAGAGATGATTCTAATAAAAAAAGTTAGCTATGCATTAAACAGTTAACCCGTTGAACCCAAATCTGCCATTAAATGACCACATATACTTACTTTGTATCCCAAGCGTCCCTGACAGGTGAGCGTGTAGTGGTATATCCCAATGGACCATAACTTTCATAAGAATCAAAATCAATATTAAAATTATCCCAGAATGGACCAAATGGATTCCCCTCCTTCATCCCACAGATATTCTCTCTTCGGTAGCTGTAGCAAAAACCTATCAAAGTATAAAAATTTGAGTCTGTAGTTGATGATGGTAAATAGCTATAACTGTGGTGCATAGCTTACCAATTCTCTGACTGACTGGCCATATATGTGGTACATAACTTACCAATTCTCTGACTGACTGGCCATATATGTGGTACATAACTTACCAATTCTCTGTCTGACTGGCCATAACTGTGGTACATAGCTTACCAATTCTCTGACTGACTGGCCATATATGTGGTACATAACTTACCAATTCTCTGTCTGACTGGCCATAACTGTGGTAC